ACTGGAATGTAATTGAAACCAGTAAGATTTTGGAATGCAGAAATAAAGAAAATTAGAAAGCCATCATATCTAGCATGTGGGGGCCACTTTAATTAAATTATATAATTTGGTATTTGAATAATTGGTATTAATAATTGTATTATAAATTGGCATTGGTATAATGAGGCTGTTATTGGAATATAATTGAAAACTAATAAAAAAATATATCTATGACAAGCCTTTCCTCTCCATGGAACACATTTAAGAGCAGGAGAGGAGCAAAGCACTTTGTATGCATTCAACCATAGTTTAATTTAAACTGTGGTTTAACATTGCATAGGAAGTGGGTCAGAGGCAGGCTTGATTCACAGGGCTTCTTGGGAGAGTAAATTCCAAGGTTGGAAAGGAACACCATGGAGACGGTCTTCTGCTGTCCCATATAGTATCCATGTCAAGAATAAATTACATGACTATAGGAAGTGGATTCATATTAAGACCAATATACTGCTCCCTCCCCACCCTGCATTTACTCACATTTACATGATAGAGTCAGTTTATGTACATCTGAACACAGTCATAGCTAATGCTTTCGCTGGCTCTCCAAGCACATAAGTAAACTGCTAAACCTGCCTCCAAAGGAGGATGACATTACATCTTCTACTGTACAAGCATCCATATTGTGGATATGGGCAAAGGAAGAATTTGAACTGGCATGCAGCTTCTGCCCTGCTCTTAGCCCTGAAGCACAATTTTTTTATTTAATTTATTATGGCATTTACCGTATTTACTCGAGTCTAATGTGCAGTCGGATCTAATGCACACCTCAATTTGCAAAACCTTGAAACCAAAAAAAAATCAGCAGGCGAATGTAATGCGCATCAGCAAAAAGTTCGCTCTTTACAAGAATAAATTTTTATTAGTAGCTTCTTCGTGGCTTCCCCCACAAGCGAAAAAATAAAAATAAGAGGCTTTTCCGGGCACAAAAAATCATGAAGCAAACACCTGACCTGCCACAAAACCCTAGTGGCGGCAGAGTTTTGAAGAAAGAAAAGATCCGCTCAGTTTAAGCTTAAGTTTTATCGTATTTACTCAAGTCTAATGCGCCATCAAATCTAAGGTGCACCCCATTTTTCACAGTGTGATTTGGCAAAAAAAGTGTGCATTAGACTTGAGTAAATACAGTATATCCCACCTTTCCTCCACAGAGCTCAAGATGGCACACACTGTTCTTCCCACAGTATTTATTTGGTTATTTATTTCGGTGTCTATCCTTCCTTTTTCCACAACACAATGTGATTGATATATAAAAAACAGACTAAGGTAATCATCATACATATGTACCCATGAAATCAGTGTGGAAAAAATCATCATAGGTTAAAGTCCTGTTGCTTTCAATAGGAACTAAATGCAACAAAAAGGAAGAAGCATTCAGCTGTGTTTTATTCTGGATCTAACCCAGAATATTATCCTAACCTGCTCAACCTCAGCTATTAAAACCCAGCCCAACAAGGAAGTCTTGCAACGCCTCTGGAAGGGCATGCAGCTGGTTGTTAAAATTTACTGCCCCTAAGAAAAATGTGTTGCCAGTAAGCAAAGAGTTCCACAGCAAAGACCAATTAATTCCATCCACATAGATAGAAATTCACATCTGTAAGACAGCAGCTCATAAGAAAATACAGACTCCCAGACCCCTGTTAAGGAAATAAGTATGTCCAGCTCAGGAATTCTCACCTCTAACAACACTGATCTGTCCCTTAGGTTCCACTTCTTGGCCTACTAAGAATTTTTCAGAGTGATAAGTAGCCTTTTGATGAAACATCCCAGTTAAGCGTTGTTGCTCAGCTGTGTGACTAGGAAGATCCTTATTCAAACCTCACTCACACACGAAGCTCAGTGGATGACATTGGAACAGTCACTAGCTATCAGCCCAATCTACACCACAGGGCTGTTGCAAGGGTGAAATTGGAAAGTGGGAAGCATGTATGCTTGGAAGAAAGGTGGGATCTTGATGTAATAAAAATGGTTGTTGCACATGTTGAATTAGAAGCAAGTGCCACTCTGAGACTTATTACCAAGTAAGTGTGCCTTACAGCCTAAATTCCCAAATAGGGAATGGGGCTCGAATATGCCCATGCATCTCTAAAGGGCATATACACAACACACAACAGGCATGATAAATGGTGTTGTGATGCTTTAAATAAACGAATCTTTGAAATGCAGATAGATGTCTCAGTCACCACACTATTATTACCATCAAGGCAATAACACGCTTACTGAGATGCAATAAAATGGGTTGTTACATTAACAATAGCCTCCACGATAAAATAATTTGCCACCTTCTCAATTATCACAAGGAAAACATTATGCAAGGGAGTCCCAAGCTGCCATTTAAAATGTGGTGCATCAGCTTTGGCTCTGGATACCTGTGTATGAGCGCAGAGGAAATGGATAGGAAGAAAGAACCAAAAAATATACCCCTTATCTGGCAAAAGGGAAGCACCTGTATTTTCTCCTTGAACAGAGGATGGGTTAGATCCAAAGGGACTTTTGTATGAACTGAAGGTATTTCTACTTGTGCAAATAGAGTTCACAATTGTACTGAATTACACACCTTGATCCCTGTTACAACCCTCCCCCCCATCACTTCTCATGTCATTCCAAAGGGCTTCTCAACCCCCCACCCCCAGGAGCACATTTGGGGGGCACAGAAAGCACAAAGAGATATAAGCTAGGAAAAACTAATAGAGAACTCATCTTGTGGTTTAACAGATCAAATCTTATAAAATTTCTCTTAACAAGAGCTAACTATGGCTTAAATTGGAATACAGGCAGAATCACTTTCTTTTGTTTAGATGTTCTAATGGTGTCCATATCAGAACAGCCAAATAGCTTCATAAACAAGCCAACTTAATCGTAATTCAGTAATAAATATTACACTATTTAATGTTAACAGATGTTGAATATTGCTAAACGAAAGAAATTAGGAGCATATGGGGGAGATATGCTAAAAAAAATACAGCTTACTTTTCATTCTTAGCTTTAGACTTAATGTAAATTATACATCTAATCCCAACTATGAATCACTATACTGATCACAGAGTCATAGAACTGCAGAGCTGGAAGGGATCCAGAGGGTCATCTAGTCCAACCCCCTGTCATGCAGGAATCTCAGCTTGATCATACATGACAAATAGAGCAGCTTCTCTTGTTTTAGATACCAATATGGAGATTAACAATAACACCATGTAGTAAGCATGTCACATGTGACTTGGAAAAGATTTCATCTGTGTTGCTGAGAAGAAAGTAGCAGAAAGCATTAAATGTTTTCTGACACGTTGGAACAGCTTGCTGTAAGATCACTGATCAGAGAAAGGAAATCCCATGTTTCAGGATGCAGTCCTATCATTGGCACATGTTAGGAAGGAAGCTCAACCACATAAAACACTGCTGCTACTCCCCTCCTTCCTCTAAATATAAAAGCAACTGGCCAGCACTGGAAGGGTGATACCAGATGTGGAAGGAAACGCTTTGATCAATAACTAGAAAAATGTGTTATAATTAAGATCTACCCCTGGAAATTAAGGCACATAGCTCCTCTTCTTTCATTTGCTTTAATCATGTCAACATGACAAAAACCTGTCATCTCCTGGCCTGGTCAATAAGGAAACAGTGGTTCAGATCCAGACAAGTTCTTCCCAATTTGGTTTTGGAGAGCAGGTGGGTCACATGCAGCCGTCGACCACTCTATGCAGCCCACCAAGCCTCAGGAAGCCTGTCTGCAGTTCCCAGCTCATGAGTTATATCAGCTCTGCAGTAGTGGAAAGATGGAAACAGGGACAACAATCTTTTCTCCACTGCCCAGATGATGGCTGCTCAGCAAAGCAGCAGGGACCTTGCATGGAATGATAAACCAAACAATGGCATAACAAAAAAACGTAAGCATAAGAGTTCCGGGAGAGAATATCAAGGTCCTCCTCTGGTCCTGATGCTGAGCTGCAGTAAGGCAAGGTGTGGGCTGAGTGGGTGGTCCAAACCCAGGATTGTGGCTTATCTCGCTCCAGACAAACCACAAGGTGTAACCAAGGTTACATGCTGAGTCAAGTTCAGCAGCAGAAGGTCATGAGGAGGAGCACAGGAGGAGCAATCTGCTCTCTTGAGAACACCCAGTCTTACTAAGCCATCATTTGCCTCAGTGGGATGTGCAAACTGGCTCAGTGTGTTTCTGTGCAAAGTCATTGAATATCCCCAAGTTCTAGTAAGTATAAGGGATAAGGAGAAAGGGGAATATCTGTGCATCTCCAATTCCTTGTTGCTACTAACACGTCTTTTATAAATATTTCAGCTGGCTATTTTGGAAGGGATTTTGCCCTCAGTCCTCTCAGAAGTCAGTTGGGGGGCAAATGTTCTCCTCACCAAGTGATCTATCTTTGAAGCCACCTTTTTTTTTAGGTGCTTGGTTCGTATCCAGCAAATGGTAACTGCAGAGCCCAGAGTTATAAGAACTGAACTATGTAGTTCTACCTGCTCCCCATCACATGGTTACTACAAAGTTTAATTCTTGTTGGTAGTGTGCGCAGTGCGGACAATGATAGAGACTTGTAGGAGGACAGGAAGCTCCTGGTGTCAAGTCTGCCCATTGGTTGATGAAGCTCAGTACTGTCTACAGTGACTACCAGCAGCTCCCTAGAGTTTCAATCAGGAGACTTTCCTAGCTGTATTTTGAATTCTCGGGGATTGAACCTGGGATATTTTGGCATGCAAAGCATGTACTCAACCACTGAGCTATGGTCCTTTCCCAAAATAGGTATACTATAGAGTTGTTGTTGTGTGGTTAAAAAAAGGGAAAAAGGAAGTGCCTGTCTTGGAGCAGAAGACTGGACATGATAATGGAGCATCTCTTACAGCTTCACGTTCTATGGCTTGAAGTCTCTCACAATGAAAAGGCAGGCTATTCATTACTGAATATTATGTATAGTGCATAACAGACTGAGAAAACAGTACAATAAAATTACAGAACGTACCTCTGCTCCATGGGAAAAGCAGCTAAATGCTCTTGAAGTAATGCAACCCTAAAGCGTTGTATTCCAGGGTCCAACAGCAACAATTTATGCAGCTCACATCAAAGAACAGCGTGGCTTTTCAAGGCAATACATGTCTCTTAAGAGGATGTGTTCACCAAGCAGATCACAAGCTGGAAATTAAGTCAAATACACATATACAGATGAGGGATAAAAGAATACACATCGAAAAAAACCATATTTTAAGTTCAATTAACATTTTATTTTAATATGGAAACAGCAAAAGGAATTTCTCTTACGGCTCAAATAACCTTACCTAATTCACAGTGCCAGTCTTACTTACGGTACAATAAGCCTCATTTGATTCAATTACTTGAAGGAGACTGAAGGCATTAAAGGAGACCTTAATGCTACATCCTCACATTCAAAGATATTCTGCCACATTTAAGTATTTTTGGTGCTGGGCTTGGGGCTATTATTAGCTATATCTGGTTGCTAGGGAAGGCTTTGGTAATGACATGCACCAGCCAGAAAACAGAATCTGATTTGCAAAAGAAGCTGGGAGTGGAACAGTTTAAAATTATGGTTGAAGGGAGAAATGTATAGGTCCAGTCATATCCTGTAATTACAAAGTGGCATATCAACAGAACTGGGAAACACCTGCGCCCTGACCTTAGAACTCATTATCTAGCAAGAAGGTGGAGGTAAGCCCTGTATGTAACTGACCATCTTTTCCGGGACAAGAAAAAAGTCATTCACCAATCGAGGACTCCTATATGCTTCATTCAGGGAAGGGACGAGCAGGTGTTGAATTTCCTTTTATCTCTCACATTGTAATTCTACTTAAAAGCAATCCCCATTGCGTTCAATGGGACTTGCTTTCATGTAAGTGTGCATGGGACTTATCCACACATAGGAATAAGCCCTACTGATCTCAGTAGACCTTTATTCTGAGGAAATATGCTCCACAATCCTCCTCATTCAACCATAACTCCTGTCCAGATTATTCTGGTTATAAATTTTACAGGTATAGGAACAAGGCTGAGAGGCAGAATGTCCTGTTAAAAAGGTAACATACTGAATGACTTTGTCTCAGTTCCACTGAAACATTTCACATGTACAGCTAAGTAAAATTAACCAGGTACAGTCATACCTCGTGTTGCGTTCCGCTCTTGTTACAGACTTTCAGCTTACAAGCACGGCAAATCCAGAAGTGTTTACTTCTGGGTTTGCCGCCTGCGCATGCGCAGAAGCAATCTGCGTGCTTCGCACACATGCAGAAGCACTTGATCGCAATGTGCACATGTGCAGAAGAGGCGCTCTAGTTGCAGACTTTTCGGGGCACGAATGACACCCCAAAACAGATTAAGTCTGCAACTAGAGGTACCACTGTACAAAACTAACACCCCTACAACTTTTTTCAGGTCTCATAAACAAATTAGGTTACACCTTTAGAAAACAATTTTGAAGTATTTAATCCCCAAAGTGCATTTTTCGGAAGGGGAAAAGAAAGGCAAAGTAGTTTTGACATAAAAAAAGACAATGAAGATGGGAAGAATTTCTCAAAATGTTTTGAAGCATGGAGACCTGTTGAACTTCTAGCTTCTTATGAAGGTTGTGCATGGATTTAACATATTATCTCAGGCATTTAATCAGGCCACATGTGCTGAATCCGGCAAGCATTAAGCTTCTTCTCAAACCTATACTTTCTTCACTTTTTGGAAGGTAAAATGAAGAAAGGAAAAAGCAACTTGTCTAAAAGCATTCAAGACCAATGAGTGATCTACTAAGCTATTAAAAAAACAATCTAACCTTTCCTCTTAGTAGCTGGTGGATCAAGTTTGCAGAATCTTAGGAGCTTCAGAAAATGTATTGTTTTAGCCATTTTAAAATTATCATGTTACACTACATACAGATGTTATTCGTTACATGAGTGCAACAGCAGCAACTCTCCTTTGTTCATTTTAAATCAATAACTGTGTGCTATTCCTTCATTACAATTTCTTCATGCACAAAAATAAGCCCAACCATTTCACATTTGTTCACAGTGAAGCCTATTGATGCTATTATAATGTGTAGTTTGGAAAAGTCACTGCCGTCTGCCAAACCAAGAGGGTAAAGTTCCAATTGCTCCTCAGAAGGCTTCCCTTTGGACAGTGCCGTATCTAAGGGAAGCGGAACACTAAGAAAGTATGCATATCAAATTTTAGAAAACCGTCAAGCGATTTTTTTTCTAGGTGAATGCGTTTAATGGCCTAAGATACATGCAGTAATTAAAAGAATAGTTCCCTTATGGCCAACAACGAAGAAGATTTAATTATGCATTAAGCTATTGGGGATGAAAGAATCATATAACACTTTTGTATTTCTCCTTGGCTGCATTATATAACTGTTGCCTAGTAGAATTTAGCATGTTTTATGTATGTTTTGTTACAAATTCAAACCACAGAAACACAGAAATCTCTATCGTATGAAGATTGAAGAAAGGTGTGTGGGTGTGTGAAGATGAAACAACTTGTAGCATTTATCTTGCCTCCAGTTGTATACTCTGACATATGCCCATATTTGGAGCTTTGGTATGACTCAACGTGGCAATTTTTATTAAGTTCATAAGCTCTCTTGGTTTTAAAGAGGGAAAATCAGACCATAAGAAGTATCTAAAGATATTGATTAGACAGACACAAATAACAAGCACAGGACAGCCCAACTTTTCATACCTGTGGGCCGCTGACTGTCTTGTTGCACAGGCGGGAGGAACAAGGTGAAAATTTGACACACACACACACATACACACACACACGAGCCCTCACACTGCCTTCCCAAAGCTGGCTAAGCAAGGCGCCATGCTTTGGGAAGGAGGCTCTGGGAGGGTCCTAGAGCCTTCCCATCTCCTTTCCAAAGCTGGGAAGGAAGAGGGAGAACTCTAGGACCGTCTCAGAACCTTCACATCTCCTTCTCAAAGCCCAGCACTTTGCTTACCTGGCTTTGAGAAGGCCACCACCAAGGGGCCACATGCAGCCCTTAGGCCATGCGTTGGACCACCCTGAACTAGCAAATGTATCTGTAGTTGATAGCATCCAACCCCAGAGGCCTCGTCAATAGCTTCAATTAGATATTTTGAAATGAGTTCTTGCAACCATCACAACTGCGGTGAAGATTCTTACTTGATCAGTTTCTCTACCCCTTAATATTAAGGACACAGGACAAGAGTAACATACATTTCACTTTTGATATCAGGGATTCCCCATGTATCAATACCAGTTAAAACAAAATAGATCAATCAGTGTCCAAGTATAAGCCTTACTCATAAAAAAATATATAATTGACGAATCACCGTTTCTGATCAAGATCTAATAGGTGAAAGGATCTGAGCAAATTTCAAAGGGAACATATAATCCTGTTCACTTGTCAAAGACTCCAAATTTGAACACACATCCAATGGCACATGAAAAGAGGAAGAGAAGAAAGAAGAAGCTTCCAGGAAGAAATGATATACAAAATGTTTTCATGACAAAGGGTTATATCAACATTAGAGGAGAGCCATTGAAATTAATGGACATGACTAAATTAGGTCCACAGATCTACTCTGAATATAACTTGGTTGGAGACAACCCAATATCTTTTTTGATTAAGTTTACCAGCCCTTATTCCATATGTAGAGGGATGTCCTTACTGTGAACAGAATATATATATATATATATATATATGCTTTCGTAGATTTTCACGGGTACAGGAATGCAGGTTTTGGTGTCCTCGGGTGTCTTCCCGTGTAAAAGTTGGGGTGTCTAGGCGACGTTTCGACGAGGTCTCACTCGTCATCTTCAGGCTGGTGCTTTCGGCTTCTTGTTACTGGAACAGAGCAGGATCTCAGTGTTTGAGTTCCTATAAATACTGTTGAGGGGGTGTGGTGTATAGCCTCCAATGTTCTGGGCAGAGAGGAAGTTCCCAGGCTAGTGTGCCTTTTCTTCTTTTGTTCCTTAATTACTTGAGGGATATCTTGAGTGATTTCTTGAGTGATATTCTGAGTACCACTTAGGTGGGTCATTAGGTGTGGATTAGTTGCTAAAGCCTTCGTGTCTTGACCTCTTGAACTTTGTGAAGAGTTTTTCTGAGAAGATGGCTGTACTGCACTTAGTTGTGCTCTGGCTTGGCTTCGGGTATAGGGGCGAGCTGTGGTTTTGTGCCCTGTGCCAGCCAGATCTGTGTAGGGATTGCAGGGGGGTGCAGCATCCGGAGGTGCCACCGTGGTTTGGCTACTGGATGGTGTCTGTAATTTATCTGTGGAGAGGGTCTGGGTTTGGGTCTGGTGTGGTTGATTGGTGATGGCGTTCTGTGTGCCTCTGGATCTGGTGTCGGTTTTTGTGGGGAGGGCTAATTTCCAGATGTCTGGCAGGCGGGACGTGTCGTCACGCTTGTTCATGTTGTGAGGGTGTTTCTCTATCTCGATGGCTTCCATGATTATTCTCTTGTGGTGATGTTCCATGTTAAAGAGCAATTTGGAATCTGCAAAATTAATTTCGTGTCCTGTTTCTTTCATGTGTTGGAAAAGAGAGGAAGTTTTTTCTTCTTTTTTGACGGCATTCTTGTGTTCTGCGATACGTGCATTTATTCGTCTGTTTGTTTGTCCAATGTACGTGGCTGGGCAGACTTTGCAGGGTATTTCATAGACCCCTTGGTTTTCCAACTGGATTTTATCTTTGGGGTTTCTAAGGATATTGGCTATTTTTTGGTTGGTGCAAAAGGCTGTTTTGATATTGTGTTTATGGAGGATTTTGCTAATTTTATCTGTAGTGCCCTTGATATAAGGAAGGAGGGCCATGCCATTGTTTTCTTCTGTGTCTTGGTTTTTGGGGGTGTTTCTTTTTGGATTAGCTTCGTAACCCTGTTTTGCTGGTATCCATTGGCGATTAACACATTTGAGAGATTCTGTAACTCAGTTGTCAAGTGGTCTTTGTCAGCCAGGCGTTTGGTTCTGGAGATGAGAGTCTTGGCTACGGAGTTTATTTGTGCAGGGTGGTGGTGTGATTGTGCATGTAAGTAGCGGTTGGTGTGTGTTTTTTTCCGGTAGATAGTGTGTCCTAGGGAGCCATCAGGTTTTTTGTAGATTAGGACGTCAAGGAAGGGAAGTTGGTTGTTGGCTTCTATTTCCATAGTGAATTGTATTTTGGGGTGTAGGCTGTTGAGATGTGTGAGGAAGCTATCTAGTTTTTCCTTCCCGTGTGGCCGTATATATATATGGCACTAGAAAAGGATACTGTATTTATTATCACATTACTTGGACTGCTTGTCACTCGGAAGTGTTCTTTTCTCTCAATTCTCTCAAGTTTATTGTTCGTGTTTAAAACTGCTTATCGGCTCAAATGTTGGAGTGAGCCCTTGCTGTTAAGGTGAGGTGGAGACAATAACTGAACTAATCCAATTGTTATCTTAATTTTCAAGTTATATATGCATTAATGCTTCTACCTTCTGATCAACTAGTCGCTAATCTTTATTTGAACACAGGGGGTTAGGAGACCTATTACTACAGATACTGGGGTTTAATAAAATACACAGAATCCAGCCATCAAAGTACTCAATGCTTCTTTTACTCAATACAATCCCAGACCTTGCACATTTATTGCCCTTACAAGGTCTTACGAGCCCCACATGCATATGTATGCTCTAAGACAGTGCTAAGAGGGCAGGTAAGACAGATCAAGGAGAAGAGGTCACAACTCTGCTGGTGAATGTGGTTCAGCAGGTAAAGACCTACAGGAGCTTGGGAGGCCCCTGCCCAGGAACTCCAGTCAGGACATACAAGTTGTAAGGCTATCTGTTATAGCTATACAGAAGCCAGCTCTACCTTTCTTTGGGATGAAAGGCATGGGGCAGGAGATTTCCTGATAAAGGGAGGACTAAGGAACTCATGGGCATCCCTGGCCTGCAGAAAGATGGAGGTTATTGCAGGAGAGAGAAAAGGAAACAAATGGTGAATGCCCTATCAGAGGGATGTGGGAAGCACATGACAAGTAGCTAGAACATGTTAGGGTCCCAAGTTTAAAAGAATGGTTCATTCAATGGGTGACTCTTGAATCATGTCTGTGGGAAAACATCACCCTGGAACTGAAAATGTGTATTTTATTTTAGGGGGAAATTCTAAAAAATACTCTTCTTCTTCTTCTTCTTTTTTGCAAGCTCCTAATTATGGATCTTCTTTAACAACCTAAGCTTGTTATTTTCGGACAAGACTAAGCATCACTAAAGAAGTTCATGAAAAGAAGAGTATGTCACATTAGGAGCTTTAGACTATTTTGGGCAATCAGTTACTAAAACCTAATGTACAATTAATCTAGATGCACCCCAAATTCCCTTTCTTTTCTCCAGAGCTAACAGGAGCACCATTTCTCATTTTAATATTTGCTCCTTAGGTGGTTAATCCTTTCTAAAGTTCTCATGACTCATATGTGTATACTGCTGAAATATTCATTTATCTCACTACAGTGTTTTTATTCTTAATCCCACACCTCATTGGCAAGATCACCCAATGGAATGCATCTGTGGACGCAGACAAAGAATTATCCAGTCTTAACAAGCACCTTAAAACTTCAAAAGAGCTTTCATTTATCCTGGATCTATGTAAACAATGAGAATAGGGAAGTATTATACGTACAAGCCTGGGAAATAGGAAATGCAGGAATCATTTCTTCACTTCACAGCTTTAACCCTGGAAAACAAAATTACACAAAAGCCATCAATGCCCAGCATGTGCCAACCTGCATATTTAATAAGTTCTGGTCACATAGTAATTAAATCATCAAAACAGTATCCAATCCAAGAAAAAAGACACATACTTAAGACATCTTGTTCCTTGGGAATAATTTCAAAAGAAAAGAAAACAACAATTCATGTGCTCTAGTATTGTACTGCTGGACTAAAGTACACTTTTCAAGAAATTCCTCTTTAACTAGCTTGAAACCTGAACATTCAAAAGAAGGTATGTCCATTCTTTATACAGGTAAAATGGCATTGCAAAAATAGACCAATGTGTGTATTTAACACATAGGTGATATGACCCTCCCCCAGTGCTTTTTTTTCTGTGGGTACGCAGGGGTACGCATACCCCTAAACATTTTGTGAATGTTTGGCCTCATTGAGGGGCAGTATTTCAATATGAGCAGGCAAATGAGAGCACCCCTAAACATTTTTTTAGAAAAAGCACTACCCTCCCCATATAATGCATTCAAAACAATTTTTCTAGTTGGTTCTATCAAAATGTGGCATCTGCAACAAGGCCAAATTTACTTCTTTAGGACAAATACAAGCATATTCTCTACTGTTTCACAAAAATTGATGGGACTTAATGGAGGAGAGCTAGTCAATGTTATTGTGCCAAACTTGCTTAAGCGCTAGATGCCACAACTACATAGACATGTATTAAGTGTAATGTTCCAAAAAGGCTATTTTAGGAACTACTAATTTTACTTGTGAGATAATGATCAGATGGAACACAAGCAACGACAACACTAACAAAATTTGAACAGGGTATCTTCAAAAGGCAAACTTAGGAGTGATTTGCTCTATGAAGAGCCAGTATGAGAAAACAGATACAGTCCTGGTAAATAGGCACAATTGAAGTGTATGCCACCTTTTTTGGAATGTTCCTCAAAGGGTTATTATTTTGTTATGTTACACATTTTGTATTTTTATATTGTAAACAGTCCTGTGGTCCTTGGATGAAGGGTAGTAGATTTAATATTAAATAAATAAATACACAGTCATACCTTGGTTGTCAAACACCTTTGCACACATACATTTTGGCTCCCAAATGCCAAAAACTCAGAAGTAAGTGTTCTAGTTTTCAAACGTTCTTTGGAAGCCAAATGTATATCGCGGCTGATGTGGCTTCCGATTGAGTGCAGGAAGCACTCGAATGGTTCTGGGAGTCGACTCTGAACTCCCTGAACAGATTAAGTTTGACAACCAAGGTACCACTGTAAAATAAAGTATGCACGTGTGGCATCAATTGCAAAAGTATACTTTCTTTTATGTACTATAATAGGAACATCTCAAAAATTCTTTGGAGGGGTGGCCAGGACCAAGCAAGATTTAAACATCTCTGGTGGACTTGTAGGACTGTAAGAAATGCCTAGATTGAAAAGATCGATTGCAAAACACAAACTATAATTAAACACTATGGTTATTCTATTGGGAAAGTTAACAGAGATCACACTTGAAAAAGTTAGATCAGTGGTAGCAACACACAAACTATCTACAAAACAATAGAATTTGATTCCAATGTATAAAGCATCACATGATAAGAAATATGGAAGGAAGTAGGTAAGTGAACCAAGTTGTTAAAACATTCGTATAGGTTTATTTTTCACCAGCACAACAAATAAATTTCATTTATTATAGTACTCTCTGGTGTGTTTCTTTTTTGTTTTTCTGTACTAACAAACTTTTTTCTTTTCAAACAAAATGATGGAGTTATTTATTACTGCATTTTTATTGCTTTTTTTAAATTGGAGGGTAGGTACAAACACCACACAATGAAAATGGCTTTTCTATTTGGCATGTTCACTACATTATTAGTGAGCAGAAGATATCTACCCATTTCCCCCTGTAAAAAGCTGGAAGATATGTTGGGGTATTTGTAAAATATTATGCAAATGATTATGGCCTACATTAAACAAAATTCAAAGACTGACTGAGAAGCAAACCTACCTTTGCAAAGCATTAATGAAACCCTACAAAATAATCCATTGTGGATACTGACCCATGCCTTGCTCAGGGCCCTAATGATTTTATGACTGCAGTACATCGGCCATGCATTACGCATTTCATATTCCAGAAATAATGACTGACTTGACTCTTCCCACGCAGCCCGTAAATTAGCCTGTCTCTTCATTCACCTTCCAGAAATTTTCCAAGGAAACCTGTTATGACTCTATACATCAGAAAGTAAGACTTAAAAAATGAATATCTAGCCAACTATAAAACAGAAAATCTTAGATTGTTCGGATTCACATCAATTTGTACAGATTGCAGATGACAAAACTGTACAAATGGGGTGTAAATGCTACAAGGGAAGAACAGAAGCCTCTAAAAAGGTCTGTTCCCTGGGTAGTTGGAGCCCCTTAAACTCCTGCATAGAGAAGCCAGAGAGTCAAAGACAACTGCTTTTATGTTAGGGCTCAATGAGAGTTCATTAGGAAATTTTACAGAAAACCGCTGAACGGCTGCCTAACAGCATAGAGACTTCTGTGCTGATATGACCTAGATTAAGAGATAAACATCTATACTGGGGAAGGGGGGTACATTTACCCTCCCCCAAATGAATTTTTAGCATACAGTTTTATATTTATAGAAGGGATCGTTTATTCTCTATAAAAGGACAAGTGCATGTGGAGTAGAACCGAAAACAATCTACCAAACCATTTACTCCACAAATACTGGCTACAATGCCTTCCTAGTACTGTAGTTGCTCAAGAAGAGAGGTAAGAACCTTCACTTTCTCGCAAGGGTCACTTGTTCAACTGCACATGGAAAAATTAGGAATGGGTGATTAATTGCTGCAATATGGAGTTTCTTACTGGCAGCTTTTATTAACAACTTCTTAGTCAGCAGGGCTTGAAAAGTCCACTCACTTGTAGCAACTCGGAAACTCTCCCTGGAGAGCAGAGGACCCACGTGCTATCAATCTGACAATACTTTTAGAAAAGAAAAAGTCTTAGCTCCAAAGAAAATAAGAGCTTGTTCTAAAGATCCTGAATGTTGCTGCCTGTTTTTTCCTCCCCCTCTTTTTGCATAGGGTTACCTAGCAGCAAATAGTTATCAATATACAAGCCCTAGATCGATTAAGCACTCCTAAGAAGAATGGCAAGTTCTCACTGCACTTATGTATCTGGATGTCAAGAACTGTGTTATCCAATTCAGGACAGGCTTTAAGTTGCTTGTGGGGCAAGACAGAATACATTCCACCTGTCCTACCCCAGGCACTGGAGCTGAATAGGCAACAGATATGACCTATCAGGAATTGCCACATGGTAGCCAATTATGAAGCAGCTGGTGTTAAGGAAACCAGCCATTACATTATTGCACCTGCATGGAAGAAAACAAGGCTCAGGGAGCCTTCTCCTTTCAATTTCACAGCACCCAGGTGGCATAAGCATTCACCCATTAAAAGAGCCAGCTGGCATCCGCCGACCAAAGGATCAGGTTGTTTTGCCCGTCCAAAGCCTTCCCCTAACCTGGCGGCTGCACAAAAATATTTGGTTGGTTGAACACTGATACTGGGTTACAAACTGGTCATTCCTGGTAAAATTTGTTTACCCCTACACCCCATTATAGTCTGGCCATGGCAATTCTTGCATTGAGAACCTCAAGAATGAATTGCTGAAATGTGCTATATGTGGGGCTACCCTTGGGTCTAGTCTGGAAGTTCCAGCTGGTGTCAAAGGCTGCTGCTAGACTGTTGGCAGGGACAGACTACCACCAGCATGTTACTCTGTTGCTTAAGAGCTTGCATTCGCTGCCCATATGCTACTGGGCCAAGTTCCAGTTTCTTGTATTAATTTACAATGCCCTTAACAACTTGGGTCTAGAATGCATTAAGGACCACCTGATTCCTTATATACCAATCACCAAGGTCTATGGAACAGTTACTGATAGTGGTCCCCAGGGCAAAAAGACAGAGCTTGTATCAAGCAGGAGCTATGTTGCTCAGTATTGTGGGCCCCATTCCAGGGAATTCCCACCCAGCTGAGATAGACAGGTTCCCTCCCTGTTGAATTTCCAGCACTAGGTGAATACCTTTTTCTTCCATCAGGCATTGTAATTACAATTTTTTCTGATTTTACAGTTAATTTTAGCCTGTTTTATTATATCTTTTGAAACTTTATTGTACACCACTTAAAGACTACAGTGTTAAGCGACGTATGAATTGTTGAAATAAATACATAATAAATATGTCCAAATAAAGCATTTGGCTCAGCTGAAGTGCTATTTACATAGGAGAACCTCAGTTGCATTGATCCTGACAGTTCAAAATACAGACTAAGAGATTAAAATGCCAGGCATACCACCTCCCTGCTGCAAAACAGGGCCACCCATCCATCAGCTCCCACACACGCACACAAACACACACACACAAAGATCTGCTTACACAAATAGTTCCATGAGTAGAGAGACAGCTGGAAAGTCTGTATAGCGAGCAGCTCCTGATAATTCAAACCACATAAGAACAGCTCTGCCAGATCAAGCCAGTGGTTCATCTGGTCCAGCATCCTGTTCTCACAGTGGCCAATAAGATGCTCACGGGAAGCTTACAAGTAGGACATGAGCACAACGGCACTCCCCACTCCTGCAGCTTCCAGCAACCAGTACTCAGAAGCATTACTGCCTCCCACTGCAAAGGCAGAGTATAACTAACAAGCATTGCAGGGACAGGAAAAAACACATGCACAAACAAACACAAAAAACCAGGATCACCGGCCGATCTGACTTGAAGGAAAACCTGAAACATGGCACCCAAGCTTTGATCAAAACGCATCCAATGAATTTTTCCAATGGGACTTTTTCTCAAGGTACATCTTCAAACCATCCAAAGGTGCTTTTAAAGCAGATTTCAAAGCAACTCAAACTCAGCACAACCACAGAGTAGAGCTTCATTGCTTCTTCAAACCTTAGAAAGCTTGGATACTACTCATTGCTGCAGTTTCTCTT